CTATTCCTTTTGGTAGGGCTTTTTTCTGTCATCTGTGTTTCTTTTGGTCACTAGCCTGACCAGATTTCTCCTTGGAGAAGAATGCCATCCAATCCAATGCAATAGATTCACTAGAGAAATGTGGCCCATTCAGCCCATAGCTCCAACCTAGCACTGCACACAGTGCTTTTAGGGTCTCTGCTCTCTGTCTAAGGGTCCAGATTGTTTGAAGACTGTGAAAGAGTTAAATGTCAATTTTAGAACTGAGTGTCCTTCCCACCAGAGAATTTTATTTCAGTGTACCATTATGGTGAATTTTACTAATGCTTGCCTATGGGGATATCTGGGTAATGGCACCATCTGACTCTTATCATAATTTGATTCAAACTCATATTGCTTTTGCATTTTATTTCTCTTTGCCATTCTGGCTTGTAACAAGCAACAGCAGGCTGAAATTTTACCTAAATGAGAGCATTTTTGCTCAGCAAAAGAACATTACTCTGTGCCATTTGCTTAATAGTTCACATTACTGTGTAGGGAGAGCTGCATCCTTAGGCCAAGTTCCTGGCACCCAGCTTGTGAAAAGTTTCAAGGCAACATAACTGTAGCTTCTGCATGGCAGAATCTTCATTGTCTGGGCAAAATGATGGTTTCTGAGCTAGACCAGAAGTCAAGAAAAATGAAGAAGTCAGATGAATGAAGTCTAGCCATACTCTTGCCACAAAGCATTCACATTTATTAATGAAAACAGCCTCTCTTACTACTCATTCCCTATCACTGGTATCACAGGAATTTAAGAGATGGATTTTGCCATATTGTGTTGATAAAATCCTTTTCCACAAGAAATGCCATTGATATTACTTACCCATAATAAATAAATAGGAAAGGTTTTCTGAATTGCAAGGAACTACTGCTAACACCATTTAGTATTGATCCTAAAATACACTATCACTAATTATTTACTTTTACATAGTACTATTTTTTAAATGCAAAATGACCAGGCTCTTTCAGTAGTTCCTAAAAGCTGGGCAAATGCATAGGGAAAGTAAGTAGGACAACGTGTCTTAAATAATAATTATTCTGCCTCATGAGTGGATTTTCTTATGTTCAAGAAACGCTTAGATGTTGTACTGAGGGACACTGGTGAGGAAAGATTGGCTGTAAGTGGGTGGTTGGACTGGATGACCTTGGAGGTCTTTGCCAGTCTTGGTGACTCTATGATTTTAGAAACTCCGGTTAAACCATACACTTGAATTTTTCATTTTTTTTCCACTTGTACACATCACAATTTCCAGCCATTTGGCATGATTTTCTTATTATTTCCTGCAAATTTTTTTCTGCCTTCCCATTGTTCACCAACCTTCATTTGAGAAGACTTCAGCTTCTACGTTAAAACGCAGGAACAAAGTGCCAAGTGTAAGCGCCTGCCTTCATCAGCCCAGACCTCGCCTGAAGAAGAGTCCCGCAGCGCTTGTTTGCCAGCTTTGAAGCAGAGGGCTGGTAAGCCACTGCCATCACCTGCATGAAGGGGAGCACATTCTGGGGAGCAAAGCCCGGCGGTCAGTGCCTGCAGAGCAGGGTCACTGCGAGCCCCAGCTGGAAGCACCAGGCCAGCACTGAGCTCAGCTGCCTGCCAGGGCACCCGTGACTTGAGAGCATGCAGTTCAGACTGCAGGTGCCCGCAGAGCATCCCATCGTCCTGAAGCAAGCATTCGGCGTTTAGGCAGTGGGACACATGGGTGGGGAAGGTGTCACATACCAACTGCGTGCCCTAATGCTGAGAGGGATTTTAGCAACGGGAGTCGAATTGGAATGACAGAGCATAGAAAAGGACTGATATGAGAAAGGACTGCACAAAACCAGCGTTTCAATGCACAATCAGATGCACACCTGTAGCCAAAAGTGGAAGGGGTTCTTTCTGAACTCCTGACCTCCTTCCTCCCAGTGGCTGATCATATTTTTTCCCCAAAAAGGCTCAAAGGACACATTTAACAGAGTTTGATAAATATCTAGAATAACATGAGAAAGACATTAGTTATTGCCAGCCTGTGATTAGGGTTGATATTGATCTAGAAAGCCAGATATTATTATTTTTAGCCTGCTATAAAGTACTTCAGTGGCTTATATTGAAATTATTTCAGAAACTGTTTTTATTAATACACATCTGTCTCCTTCTAAGCAGGTGATAGAAGTTTGATCTCCAGCTTGAAAACCTCGAGACCCTTAGTTGCTAGGAAACCACCAAATCTAATTCCTGTGGCTCTTATAACACAAAAATATAATTATATAGTGATTCTCTCAGAGAAACTCACGCTTTGTATTTTTCAGCACCCCCTTTGTTGGTGATTTGAAGCTTTCTTTTTATTCATTTAGATTACAGAAAAGGCACATCAGTTATATAGATATTGGTAAATATGTTAACAGAAGGAGATATGACGTTCTTTCATCAGAATTTTGCATTTATCTAATTGCAGGAATGAAAAACTACTATGTAGCATGTTACAAGGTCTTGAAATTTACTTCTAATACAGATTTGCAGATTTATCTTTAATATTTCATTACCATGATTGTTGATCGTTTCTGGTTCAGATGATGTCTTTGCAGACAATCAATCTAGTGTCTTTATGAGAAACATTATTCATAAACGTATGTAAAAGGTCCCTGCTTTCGTTATAGCACAACCAGTTAACCATCTATCTATGTATGCCCATCTGACCTTTCAATTACTGGCTTATCTGTATGATGCACTGCAGTGGAATTATTAATTCTACCCCCTTAGATTTTTATTCTTTGGCCCAGCAGGTCTACTAGGAAGAGTAACACATATGCCATTAATAACAATTATCAGTGACATGACAGAACCTGAATGAGATTTCATTCAGAAAGGTGATATTCTGTTTATACACTTAAACAAATAAAAATACATTATATTCTGGGAGTGTCATTCTTAACTGCATCGAATAAATGTGGCTATGAATGAAGCAGTGATACCTTAGGAAATGGTGGACTTTCATTCTGCCCTTTCAGGATCATGATACGTTTGCCTGGATCACACAGTCTGAACTGCTTGTGCAAATACTTTGAGCAAGATAAGAGCTCAGTGTTGGAAGATAAGTGTTGGAACAAAGCCAGCATGCATAGGAATAAGATTGGAAAGAAAAAAAGAACCCTATAAATTTACATTTTCCTAGTTCTCCAATTCTTGACCTTGCAATTGAGAATCACACTTTTTAACATATAACTTTAACGAATATACCCTAATGGTGTTGCACAAATATCTCAAATACAGATAAACTCCATTTTGTCTCATGAAACTACTTCTCTTAAAGGATAATTATTCAAACCCTTTGCCCACAAAAGCATTCCTAACAGACAGACCTTACTGCAATGGTGTAACTATGCCCTAAAAACTCACTGTGTACTTTTAAACACAGAACCTCCATCACAACAAAACATAGCTGCTCTCTGCAGTAACAGCATTACTTCACACCCTGTAGTTGCCCACCAAAGGTTTTTAAGCACCATCAGAAGTTCTAGAAGCAGAGCAGAGCTCTCATGGAATGGGGATGGTAAAGACTTGGATGCTATACCTTGAGAGGAGGATGCTGAAGGATGAAAGGAATATAAAGCAGATATGAAATTAGAGGCTTGGAATCCACCTCAGATGAGAACAGGAAGCTGAGTGCTTTCTTCTCCTTTAAGACTCAGCCAGAAGCACAAGAGGTGCCTCCAGCATAGCACATCCCCTTGCTACAGATGTGAAAAGCACAGGGAGCTGTAATAGTATTGTGATTTTCCATTCCAGCACTAATATCTGAGAAAATAATAAGATAATCAGTTTCTTCTCCAAAATACAATGTGAAAATTACAGTTTGTATTCATTCTCCTTTTGTTTCACTTATACCATCACCTCTATGGCTCTGTCATTCTCATTCAGGCACCCTGCAATAAGCCACCCTTGATCCTCTACTTTGTTTTTGTTATTTCCCAAAGTATTTCATTCAAGTAAGTTAAAAAATGCAGTTTGGAAGGATGCACATTTCTAAAGCAGCTGGAATGATCTAAATTAAAAACGCAACAAAACACATGTGGAGCTGTAGGTACAGCAAGAAAGAGATGAAAAGAGAAAGACAAGAAGTCACCATCCTTCTCCTTACAGGAATGTGGAAAGGACAGCCTACAAGGAAATTACTGGCAGGTGGCTGAAGCAAGTGCAGCTTATTAGACTGCAGTATGAATACAGGACAGGAAAATGATTTACATGTAGACTTCAGGAAAGAAAGGAAATTTGAAGAGTTGTACTCATACTTTTTCTTGAATCTTCTCATTTTCTAAATAAAGATGCTGAAAATAATTATTTAATTGCTCTATTAGTATAGCTTTTGTATCAGCATGAACAGGAAAAGCATCATCAATTTCTCTTCCTTTTCCTCTGCAAAACTCACAGGGCAGAACAAAATTTTAACTACAGTATCACTGCTTATATCTGTACTTCTTTATGTCTGAGGCGCAGGAACAGGCCTTTAGGAATGAACAATTCCAGGGAACAGGAGCAGCAATAAACCTGACTCTAATTACCTACACAGTTTCTCTTTAAACAAAACTTGGAACAGGCTGCCCAGGGAAGCGTTCAAGGAAAAGGCCGATGTAACACTGAGGGACATGGGTTAGCAGACATGTAGAGTTGGGCTCATCTTAGGACCAGAGGATCTCAGTGGCCATTTCCCAACTTAAGACTTCTATCATTCTATTCATTCAGGCTCTGAAACCGAATTTAAGCTCTGAACGTAAAGGAAAAGCCCTGCAGTTGCCTCCACAGTTGTGTTGTACACTCCCCTTCTCCCTATCAATCCAGAGGCACCACTTGGAAGCAAAAGTAGAAAAGAGGAATGCAGCTTAAAACAACCCCTGCTTTTACATTTAAGCATTGTAAAGCAACAGTGAGGGCATCCATGGCATCCCAATGCACATGGGGACTCAACACAGAAGTTGTCCTGTTTCCAAAGGGCTCAAATTCTTACCAAAAAGGAAAGTGCAGCTTAAACCACCAATCCAACAGGAAGGAGCAGCAGCTGGATCTGCAGTGCTTGCCAGCGGAACAGGCGGAGGACCAAGCTGACATAACTACCCTCACTGCAAGTCACTTGTGCACACCAACTTCAGCTGAGGACATATCTGCAATGCAAAAAAAAAGAATACTGTACTGTAAGCCTAAAGACAATACACCTGATAACTGTGCTTTTGCATCAGATCCTTATTGAGGAACATGTCCTTGCAGCTCCTTCATTCCCTGGTACTCTCACATAAATTAATCAGCATTGTTCCTTACAGATAATTACTTATTTTGGCATTGCACCTTTTGAGAGGGGACAGTGGAAGGGATGAGTAAAGTAAGTAGAAGAGTAAGAAGTTTAAAACACAATTGATTCTCCTTCCCAAGCAATAGCTCTTCTAGCATTGTTTGAGGACACAGAGGACACGAGAATTAATTTGGAAGATCTCTTGTCTATGTGATACATGAACAAAAAGACCCATATGTACCTTAAGGAGGAATATAGGAATTTATCTCTTTTATGAGTACAAGTAATCTTTTTTCCCTCACCCAGTATTTTATTTTGTGCCAGACCTTCTTTTATTCACATACCAGTGTTTTACATAAATTATGCAAAATACAGAAAAGTAGCCTGAGCTATAGGTTTATTTTCACAGGAAACCTATATTTCTCCTCACAGAGAATCACTGTTAGAGGTTCAATACTGTAAAATACACAGATGATAATGCGTATGTAAAACAGAACACTTGATCCAGTATTTTATAACAGATAACATCCCCACACTGTCAATAATGCCAAATAACTAATCTTCCCTCCATAAACATATCTTTTATAAGAGCATTTCCTTTTACAATTTCTAGCATAGAAATCATAAGAAAGGAACACACAAGATTAGATGAGAGCAACTTGACCTAACATTGAAAAACAGATTACTACTCTCCTGTATTATAGAGGTTATAAAATCAGTGATTTCTATGTGGAAAACAGCTCACAAATTTTAGTAACGATTTCTTGCAGTAAAAATTGAGAAGACAATAAGATGTTCCCTTTGGTCTGAAATCATGCAGCAAAGTCAGATTATTTGCTCTAAAAATGCAAAGATGATTTACAAATTATCTACTATGCCTCAGCAACGAATTCAGAAAAAAGGTAACTTGCTACCTGGAGACATGTATGGTTTTCCATCATAATTAATAACGACAGTTTTATTACAGTTTATGTAGCAGTTAATCAATAGGCTTTGATACTTGCTCAGTCAACAACACTTCCTGTGTGCTTGCATAACGTCCACTATTAAGCTTTTCAGCTTAATCCCTTTACTACCTCTAGCCCAAAGTCAGAAGAGAAATTGTCATTATACTCAGTTCGTCAACATTTCAGGTCCTGGAGGACAGGGAAGGAAGAGGAGGGAGAAGAATAAAACAGAGAAAAGGAGGTGAGAGCATTGGAAATTTAGAGGTGAAAATTTAGAGGTGCCATTCTACTACTTCTAGACTATCTGTGTTCTGATTTAGCCCTCAGAGCAATTCCACACTTCCTCAGAAGAAACAAACTGGAAAATAATCCAGCTTCTCTCTCTATGCAGAATATCACATGCTGACCTCAGGGGTACGAACCAAAGTTGTCAGAAGACAGAAGCAAGAACCCAACAAGCCTTGGGCACATCTCTATTTCAGCTGTTGCAGATGCAGAAGACATATTTCTGCTGCTGTAGTTCTCATCACGTACTTCATTTATTCCCCAATGCCCTTTCATCTTAGCAGTAAGTCAAGAAGAACATGATGATGTTTATTCATAAGTCCAGAAACCAGTAATAAAAAAAAACAAAAAACCAACACCTAAGTAGATGCTGAGGTTCAACAGACAAAGATGTGGCTGGATTTCACGTTCAAATTGCAGACAAATGCTTGACTTCATTTTTTTGCCTTCTTCAGATTTGGGATACTAGGACATCCCGGATCCAGTTCTCAAATGCAATGAAGAACTAAAGGAGACCACGGCCTTTATATGGAAAAATTGGTTTGGTTCTGAAAGCTTAAAATACCAAACCCTCTTTATCTTCCAGAGTATTCAAAACGTCAAAGCTTTCCAGATAAGCATCTACGCTGAAACTAATAGTATCAGTTTCTTCAGTCTTTCTGCTTCTTGGCTTTCATTGCCTTTTTCCAGGAGATGCAATGCTGCTGAACTAACTACTAACAGAAAAGCAGCTACATGTAACAGGATAAAATGCACTGCACGATGCAATACATGTATCTATATATAGATAACCTATTTTTTTGTGCCTTGATACTATCATTTACAGATTTAATAGATACTAAAACTGATATTGCAGTAGTGACTTCTGCTGAAGACTAGAAAACTTGGCTTCCCCCAAGCTGGGGGGAAAGACATCTTTTCTCATTTGCTATACACCTTGCATGTAGGAACAGTAATATTCATAAAGCTCTTTGAAGCTGTGTAAGGACTATGAAAGGAGTTTTGACATCCCTCCTGCTTTTTGGATACCTTGGGCCCTTCAAAATACAAAATATTTTTAGTTTCTGCACAGCAAGATACTAATTTTTCCTCCCTGCCTTTTTTTTCCACTTGATCAAAGCTATCTTCCATTTTCAGTTTTCTCTTCTATTCTTCCCTAAATATTACAGCAGATATTAATTCTCAACTTTAGATACCGTGTTTCAAATTTCTCTGCCTTTTTGATCTCTCTTGTCTCCTCAGTCTAATCTTTTATCCTTCACTGGTTTATCCTATATGCCATTTTATCGCCTTTTATATTCTTTTTTACAAGAAACTCTTTGCTGTACCCACTATTTCATCACCACATGTTCCTGTGAGATTTTTATCTACTAAAATACTGTATTTTGTTTTTTTACCTCTTTTTCCTCCCTTTCTTGTTTTACCTGACCATGCTACCACCTGGCCTCTCCATTTTCCAGTCTCACCCTTTTTAATTTACAGACTTGCCTCACCCACTCCTTTGCAATTAGCCTTTGACTATTCTTATTTTTGCACAGCCCCAGAAGGCACTTAGCTCTAATCTTGCTTACCCTTCCAGCATGTTAATTCATTACCCTCTTCGAGCACCTCTTACAATTCCAGTTTGCTTGGCATCTCTGGGTAGATAAATACACAACCTTGGCATTGCTGAAGGAAACACACTGTGTCAGATGATGGGTATTTTGGAAATGGGCACCTGGAGGAAAGCCAATGCAGCATGAACACCTGCTATGCCAGGTCACCCATTGCTCCAGTAGCCAGGGCAAAACCAAACTCTTCTTTATCCTCCTGGCAAGGCTCTTCTCTGACTGGCTATTTGCTCTCAGTGAAAACATTTGTTCCCCTCATTACATACATTACAGGCGTCCAGTTTGCAAGTCCAGAAACACAAAACGTTTCTTTCTTGGCAAGTCTGGTTTTCAATAGAGTAGGTTAAGTTAAAACAACTGAGAAATATTTTGCTTTAACTTTACTCCTCAGTTAACAAACTAGCTTTTATTTGAGCAACAAATGACACCATGTGCTTTTATGCACCAGAGAAATTTCCTGTGCTCTGAAGGCTTCCCCACCTCTGCAGGGAATGAGTACAAGACCAACAGCTTCTCTGGTTGACAAAAAGGAACAGGTTGCACCACTGACTGTAATTCATTTCTGCAAAGTCAAGAGGGACAGGAAATGCAAAATCAATTGCAGAAGAAGCAAATACTTTAAGTTGTGTTGCTATTGACATACCCTTTACTGGAATTTAAACTATGTCAGCCTGAGAGTTACTTTCACCTCATTAGTGTGACTATCGTGATACTAGTGTTGCCATTTTCTTCACCAGCATAAGCGACTGCACTGCTAGGAGAAAAAAAAGATAATGGAAAGAGCGATGATATCTGAGCCTTTGCAGGGGAAAGAGCAGGTTAAGAGAAACGGGGAGCTCAAAAAAAAAAGATCTGTACTATGGCACTTGGCAAGGCACTTCTAGGGCTGCTCTCAGGTTGGGTGACCTACAGGACACATAAGTGATCTCTCCAATGAGGGATTCTGGGGTGCATTCAGTTTTACGCTGGTGTCAGCAGCAGTTAATATATCAGATACAGCGTTGGTATCAGATCTGCTCCTGGATCCTGAGGAACCAGTACACTTCCTTGCACATCATCTTTGGTAAGTGATGTGCAACGTTCATCTGAAATCTCAGGCTATGGGCAGAGCTGTGACAGGGACCATTTCCCAGAGACTTAACAAAGCGTGGATATCCTAGCGTCCTCTACAAGGATTACATTTCCATATCAAAGCACGAGTCTCTGGAAGACAAAAAGGCAGTGTTTGCTAAATGGTAAAAGAGAACATTTCTTTCTGCAACACAGTATAAGAAGAGAACATGGAAATCTGGTGCTTTTACAGTGTACTACCTCACTACCTTAAGTCCTGGACCAGTACCAAGTAAAAATATCAAGTTTTACTATCATTTTAATTTCACATTTACTGTTTAATCCATTTAGTAGAATTTCACCCAGTGATTCCTCCACCTCTGGGGGAAGTCAGAGTGGATGATCACGGTGATGCCTTCTGGCCTACAAATCTAGGAAATCACTGGGCCATTATAGCCTTTCCAAAATACGTGATTAAAAAGTACTTATAACACCAGCAGCTGTTGAAGATTCAAAAGGCCTCAGAGGCTTATGTGGCTCTGGAAACTAGAGGAGCAGGAAAAAACTATTAAAACTGCCAACATTTCTCAGAACAACTTCTTACCGTACAGCTACAAGATGATAATCAGACCATCATCTCCTGCATACCTAGCGTCGCCCGTCCTAGAAAGATACGAAATCATTTGGGTACTTTCCAAGCTGAAGGGCTTGCCTAAAAGCAGTTTTTAAAAACAATGTTTATGCATGCCAGAAGTGGAAAACAGCCTGGATTAATTCTTCAGATGCCTGGAGACCTGCTCACAATGTGCTGCACCCAGAGGTGCAGAGGGTGGTTCTTCCTGAGGGCAGAGAAAGGTGAAAAAGAATGAGAGTGAGCTCACACTTCTCAGTGCGGTTGACAGAAGTGCACAGCCCATGCGTTTTGGCCCTATACGAAGAGCCAAAGCAGCAGCTTCCTTAAGTCTAAATCTCCCCTCTTTTAG